TCTCTCTCTCTCTCTCTCTCTCTCTCTCTCTCTCTCTCTCTTTTTCTCTCTCCCCGCCGGCACCGAGGTCGTAAATTTCGCTCGGTCGCGCGCGCTGCTTCGACGCTCGCTTTAATTATTTAATCGAGCGCTCCGCGATCGCGAGGATAACGGGAATGCACGCCGTAAGCCTAGTGACGTTAGTTTTTCACGTACATTCACGTACATTCGGCGGCCGAAGAGGCCGAAGCTGCGAGACGGCAAGGCCGCCGTCGTTATGTATGTGCACTCGTTTTTGCGAGAGGGTTCTGTTTCTTTTTTCGTTTCCGATCGAGTTAGAAGCGCACGAGGATCCTCCGCAGGGGAACATCGCGTTCCGTTCCCCCCGGCCGCAAGAAGGAACGCGGAGTGGTCGATAAATGCTATAGGAGAGAGAGACAGGGGCCCATTGATGCCGGGGATATGCGCCCACCGACGAAAAAGAGAGTCGGATCCCGCCGACGCGCCAGGTCGAACGGATAAAGGCATTATTGTCGATTGTTCTTTCATACTAGATCGCCGCCGTATAAAAACGCAACGAGCGACTTCCGCTAATCGTACTGGCGATGCCGCCAGGTTTCGCCGCGGTCAGGCGCGATGTACCCGGTGACTTTCGAAACGTCGACGATCCGTCGTCGGAGTAATTCGTAATGCGTCGTGTCTATATACAGCGCGAACTGTCTTGACCGCGATGGAAGGAAGAATCGACTCCGTTAAAATCTCATCTCAAGTATCGGGCTTCGCCGCTTTATCGTCGTGTTATCTGCATCGCAGAGTCTGAAAACTTCTCTCGTTATCAGTCTAATCTTTTTCAAAATTACACAATATTTGAACAAGCTCGGGAAATTTCCAAAATTATGTATTTTAATGATCACTGTGAAAATCATCCATTTCACAGCATTTCGGGGGTAGTTTTGAAACGTCCCGGATTTCGTCTGGAAGCGTCGCGTGTGTGTGACTAAACTTTTCTCCCTCATTATTTCTCTCGATTAACTAATTCCTTCTCTTTCGGTTTTTCCGGAACATCTCTACGCATCTTCTAGAAGATGATCGCACGCATGTGATGTTATCAATGAAGCCAGATGAAAAAGCAGATCGTCGCAACGAAAAAGCCTGCACGCGAAGGGAGCGAAGGCGAAGGTTCAAGGGCGTTTACGTTATTAGTTTAATTCACGCGATGAACCGCCTGCGCCGCTCAGACGCAGAGAGAGAGAGAGAGAGAGAGAGAGAGAGAGAGAGAGAGAGAGAGAGAGAGAGAGAGAGGAAGAAAGAGAGAAAGAGTGGGGGAGAAAGAGAGAGAGAGAGAGAGAGAGAGAGAGAGAGAGAGAGAGAGAGAGAGAGAGAGAGAAGGTGGTTCAAACGAGTCCGGATCGATGGAGAACGATTAGGGTAGGATCCGAGCAGGTAATTAGAAAAACGCACGTGTCCATTACTCGTCTACACGTGGGCGATGCCGGCCAATCGCTACGACCGCCACGCTTTTATTGGCCAATCAGCATCGATTTATGACATGCTATACGTGACTCGCGAAAGGACAGCTTCGTTACACTCTCGCTAGTATCTTACCTTGCTGTACAGGGTGTGCCGAGAGTTCACTAGCTTCACCATCCCTCATATTTCTCGCAATTATACCATCAATTTAACGCACAAGAGTTATTTAAATTTATCATAGAAAAAGCTCCCCCTCCTCCCACATGACATAACGTCGACGTCAAGCACGTTAAGAAAAGCGACAGAGCGAGCACAAAATCCGTGCGAGGACTCTCGCAAGCCCTTCATACCTACTTTGTTTATCTGACGGCGACAATTCTCCTTCTGACACTTTGCAATTAATTTTCAATTAGAGGTAGACGACGAACGAGACAGGGAGGGAGGCGTCAAGCAAAAGGACAGATCAAACAGAGCGGAAGAGGGGGTGAAATCGCGATTGCCGAGTCGGAAGCGCATCGAGAGCATGAAAAATCGCGAGCGCATTCGCATTCGCGCGGCCGACCATTACGGAATCCCGTCGTTGATAAGCCGAGATTCGACTCGCCCGTCCGTTATCGCGACGATTCGACTGCTCGGCCGATCTCTCACTTCGCGTTCGCGTGTTCCGCGTAAACACAGAGCTATACGTGCCGCCCGCCGGTCATAACACGATCTATCTGTTTTCCCTTGCGGTGCACGCGCGTGCGGCGCAAAATTTTCCACTGTCCGGAGGAGACCGAACGCCCCTCGGCGCAAATAATGGACTGCGATAACCGTAGTTTTACCGACGCGCCGTCACGCAGAGTCCGCCACGGAATTATCGCCCAAGCTCGGGAGGAGAGATTGCCGCTTATCGTGAGAAATTTTCATCGCGCGGCGATCATTTTTAGCGAGCGGACGCAGATTGTCCAGTGTTAATTAGATTAATGGCCGCTGAGATGAGGCACTCCGTGATAATCACTCGCAATCGGAGAGGCGAGAATCCGTTCGTCGCGAGGACTGTCGAGCTGACTCGAGCACGGTACATGTCGAAGAAAATTCCCTTAATCAACTTTTCGAGGACTTTGAGTATCAGATACGTGAAAAGTCTTAAATTGCCTCTCGTTTAATCTCACATTGATTCGAGCGATCTCTCGTCCTCTGTGTATTATTGAGAGATTATATTTGCGCTGTAAAGTTAAGACGCGAGGCGAAAGCTCGAGCGAGCGAGCGAGCGAGAGAGAGAGAGAGAGAGAGAGAGAGAGAGAGAGAGAGAGAGAGAGAGAGAGAGAGAGAGAGCAGCGAGAGAGCGAGGAATCGAGTCCCGGAGGGACTCGGTTCTCGGATTTTCATGCCGAAGGAGGCCTCCTCCGCACACCGGGGGCTGTTAAATTTATGGCTCTCCCCTCGTCGAAGGGGGAGACGATAACATGCATAATAAGCGCGCTCAGATAACGGGTGACGCATAAGTTACGGCGTCGCGATAAACGAGGCCCATGCATACCGCGGAAGGTTAGCGTCGGCGGCCGACGGCCGGAGGATCGCGGAGAAGGAAGATTTCCGAATCCTTATATTACGGCGATGTCAAGTGGAATCTCGCGGTGGCATTCAAACAGGTGGATGATGACATGCGCGTGCCTACTTCGATAATAATACCGATTGTTCGTTTATTTCTAACGTATCTCGTTAATATTGATTCAAGTTGACTCAACGGAACGGAAGCGTGTATTTAGAAAATATATAAAAGAATACATATCCTCTTTCGATATTCAGCTCAATGTCAAAATTACGAATTGATAGAAGCACAATCAAACACAATATGTTGATGAAACAAAATGTCTGAATTCTACACGCGGATAATCATGCGATTACTCTGTCGTTTGGAAACACACACATTTTTGTGTTACTTATTAATTTTTGTTCGTTAAGTCGAGGCACCCGTCCGTGCTCTTCAGTCGGTATCGTTCCCGGTTCAACTTTCTCGCGACGTATCTAAGAAAAACAGACGCTCTCTTAATTTAACTTCCGAAATTATCGCTCAGCTTCGCTCGCCTTTCGCGCAAAACCAACAAAGGAACTCCCCCCTCCCCCTCGCCCGGCCTGGATGAGTGTAATCCCTCACGTCGTGTACGAATGTCAAGATACCCCCTCCCGCCTCCCAATGATACATTATTATTCATGCTGCCGCCGATAGATCCGCAACGGCTTCAACAATAATGCGCGCGCGGCGGGTCGCACGCGAGCGGATAACTGTCCTTTTTTCCTCAATTTTTACGACGCAATCTACCGGGGATAACAATAACGGGCGCATCGAATACGGCTAATCCCGTCACAAAAAGTGCTTACGACACGCGCGACTCGGTACTTTTTCATGTGTGTGGAGGCGATTACTTTGAAAAAATTTTCGACTGCTCGCTTAAGCGGTATCCAAAGAAACGGACAGCTTCGCGTTATAAATAAATGGTAAAGATGCCTTTGCTATTAAAGACCAAAGAAAAGAAAAAATTCATAAGTAGAGATGTCTCTTGCTTTCTGGCTACTTCTCAATTCACCGACATTGGCAGTCTCGACCCGCACGAACTTTCGCAATTCTACACAAGCGGATAAAAAGAAAACAGTACGCACTCGAGGCTTGCCAACGAGAGAAATATCAGCAGCTATCAGGAAGCGTTAAGTGCGAACGTCCGCTGTTTCCGTTCGCGGAATTTGCGTGCGAATGCGGCGGATTTCTCGCGCGCGCGCGATCAAAGCAGCGTGGTTGAATTTTTAGCGCGTCATCGCCGCACTTCCTGATGATAATGAACAACGTCGTTATCGCGCGTTCGCGCACCAGCCGCGGCGGCCCGCGGAATACCGCCGAGCCGTTTCTCGGCGTTTTCGGCTTCCCGACGGCGAATCCCGACGCGTCGCGCGCGCGCGCGCGGAAAGAAAGAGAGCGGAAAAAAGAAACGGCGAGCAGATTATCGGCGGCGACAATGCCGGATTAGATATGCATCGGTACGGAATTCATGGGTGCCTCGTCGCACATCTTCATCGCGGAAGCCGAGCTCGCGCTCCTCCTCCCCTCCTCCCACCCTGTCTCGCTTCTCTCTTTCTCTCCGTCTCTCGAGGTCGGCGTCTTCAGCGAAGCGATGGCCGTTGCCCTTATCTTCGTTCGCTATTGGAAACTATCGGCCGGCATAGAGGCGAGGCCGAGAGAGAGAGAGAGAGAGAGAGAGAAAGAGAGAGCTCTCCTCCGCGCGGAGCGATCCTGAAAAACGCGGCCTTCTCCCTTGCTACCTCTCTCCCCGTCCCATCCCCGCATCACCCCTTATCTCTCACGCGGCTCTCCGTCTCTTCCGCCACTCGATCTATCTCGCGGAGCCCGCCTCACCGGTTTCCGCTCGTCCATGCTTATCCGCTTAATTTATTTTCCGTATCTCTTGAAATCTTAATGACCGACGCCGGCCGGGCCCTGAACGTTCCGTTCGTTCGTTCGAGCGGGTTGAGAGCTCCCCGCCGCCACCCGGTGTGGGGAAAATAGACGGACTTACCTTGCGTCTCTGCGGATACTGTCCCCTCAGGCGAATCGGCACGTTCCCGCTTCCATCGTCATCGGGCCACTTCCGCCTGCCGGACCGCGACGTCCGCTGCCGTTAGCCACGTAGACCGCCGCGCGGCTACACCCTGAAAGAGCAGAGGCGTGATGTATGCGAGGAGGAACATGCGGTCAGAAATACGCGATAAAGTAGGTAGATGTAACGTGTAAGAGCGCGGCGGTGACTGATAACGGTTGACAAATACGACGATTATGAGAGCCGCCGCGCGTGTGGACGGGCGATAATCGAGATCGTATATCACTCTCCTGAAATCCGACGATATCGCCCGCGGCGCGGCGGTTATGCGGGGAAAAAATGCCGCCGATAGATCCGGCATCCTTTTCCTCTCGCTTCTATAGGGCAAGCGCGAGAGCTCGAGCTGATAATGCCTAACGAATCGGGATCACAGACGCTTAACGAAGCGCGTTGGTCGCTCTTATCGCGCGACCACATTTCACGAGCCGGTCCTCGTCGACTCGACTCGAGGGAATCAGAGATCGCGAGGATTACAAATTCGATCACGCGCTTTATGCGCGCGTCGGACAACACGCGCAGCTGCGTACATTTCCACGCGGGAGCTTTGTAAATTTCGACAGGTGTGAGGAACGTGGCTGAAATTCCAACAGATGCGCGCGGATCACAGCGTGTCGCTCGGCGGCTCTTTGTCCGGCGGACAAGTTAAGCGAATAATTTGGCGATTTAGTTCGCAACACGACGATACATGTCCGGCTGCTCTTTTGTCTCTGGTCGGGACCATCGTTATTCTCTGTTGACTATTATCGTATTATCGAATGTCCGAGAGCGTGATTATCTGAATATATTTTATTCTCTGACTTAAAATTTCCTTTAGCCTCTTGCTACGTTGCAATTTTATGCGAACGCAATGTATTCAGACTTTTACCGAGTCGCTCACGGCCACCTGAGGTACCTTGAAAGATATATATCGTTCGATAAACTATTTCAAGCGAAAGTATAAATAAATTCAAGTCGAGATCACTGTTTCAAATTTGCTTTCTCAAGATATTTTAGACGGACATTTAAAATGGACCATCTTGTATACGGTGTCATTTTTTGGCAATATTTCTAGGTATATTTCAAACAATTATGTCTCTTTTTTCCTCTTAGTGTTCTAAATAAATAATTAAAATTTAATACTTCGGAACAAAATGATGTGCGTGTGTGTGTGTGTGTGTGTGTGTGTGTGTGTGTGAGAAAGAGAGGGAGAGAGAGAGAGAGAGAGAGAGAGAGAGAGAGAGAGAGAGAGAGAGAGAGAGAGAGAGAGAGAGAAGTCACGGTAAAAGTATTCAAAAGTCAAAGCTCGAGCATCTGCTCTTTTCGCGACGCAGACTCTCCCTCCTGAATATGCTAATTAAATTTCTTCCATCTTGTGGATTTTGACCGTCGAGGAAATCGTAAATTCGCAGTCTCGAGTTCTCGCGTGTCAAAAGCGGCAAGCTGCTCTGAGCTCGTTGCTTATTCTTTTATTTTAACTAGCTTTTTACTTTTTAACTTGTATTATAACTAGCTTTTTATCTCAGCTTTATAGCGAATCGCTGGAATCACCTTAAATCCGTCATTTTATGTCGCTACACCATACTCGCGCACCTGGTGAAACGCACCGTCTCTTCGTATACCGAGTGTTCAACACACACCGACTTGACAATTTTGCACATTGTTTCGATCGCTGACACTAAATATATCTATTAATCGAAACTTAAATTGAGGAAAAGAAATTGAAAAATTAATAATCCTCTAATAATTATCTTCACATTCCTGAAGAATTTAGAAAAAAGAAATTTTCCAAAAACTCTCCCTCCCCCCCCTCTCTCTCTCTCTCTCTCTCTCTAGATTTATCGCGTAAAGAATTTTCTTGCGTCGAGTGTTGCGTAAGAGAAAAAATCCTGTAGCAGTAGAAAAACAAAGAAAAAGCTTGGATTATTTAGAGCCTCGCGGTCATATGTCGGCTTCCCTATCAGCAATTGCGGAATCCATCGAGAATCTTCGCGCGCGACACCGCGACGCCCGAGGGTTGCTCATACCGGGTGCCCGATCGGAACGTAGCCGCGAAACGACAGACAGCGTATACGACGTAGCGGCTGAATTTGCATACAGTGGCCGCCAGCGAGCGACTGTCTGTCGAGTCTCGCCGCGTAATATTTATGAGGTACAACTTCCTCCTATTGTTTGTAAGCAGCTACGTACAAGTAAGCTACGTCATTTTGCGTTTTCCGGTCGCAGCTTCGTATAAAAGTCGTCATAGAGAAATTGACTATAGAACTCGATCTTAATCTGCCGGCTGCAATTAATTTTAATTTTCCGTCGCCGAACTCGACGGCGTAGCGAACACGTGAGAGGTTCCGTCCTGTATTATTTTGAAAAAAAATTGTGAAAAGAAATATATATATATATACATATGTAAATCGGCGTATATATTTCTTCGAATACAATATCACCGACAAATGCGAGCGATCGCGGATGCGCAAATACGAGGAAGTAAATTAGAAAATTGCACGCGAGACGCGTTCGCGAGAGTCGTCGATTACGAGAGCGCCAGTCGATATATTTCCTCTGCCGAGCCTGATCGGATAAATAATCGCGTCCTTTATTTAGCGCCCGAAGACACGTTGCTCTCGGTGATTTATAACTGGAACATAAGATTTAATTTCCGTCGTCGATTACCGGTACAAAGTTAATGTGTCTATTAAGAGAATACCCGTGCCGCGGCCGATAAAAAAAATCTCAGCGGCAAGACGAATTGCGACATTACCGTTGATTAATGCGCGCTGGAAAATTCACGCGAGCACGGGGTAATCGAAGAGTCTCTCTCGGCGCGGCCACAATCGAACCAACCGGCTGCGTTCGATTAACGATGCGCGCGTGTGCAAATGGAAATTCTTCCATCGAGTTCGAGGACGCGATCGTTCAGAATCTCACTTCATTATATTTTTAAATTCCCCCGCTGCTAATTCCGATCTTAAAAAAAATACTTCCAACAAGTGTCCCACTTTCAAGAGGGGGAGGGGGTAAATATTTACCTATGGGGACCACCTCCCGATCTCAAAAATTTTAGTTGTATGTTATGTAAATCGTCATTCTGAGTAACGCTGTGAAGGTTTCAGCTGGCGCGTCACTGTTTATTAAAAAGTTATTAATGAAAGAAATTTTGAAAATAAAATATGATTCTCCGATGCTATATGTAGAGTTTGTCTTTTTATATTGCGTCCTTTCGCTGAACGTATGTTATCTTTATTTACTTTCGTGTCTGGTGTTGTTGTCCTTTGTATACCACTCAAGACTACTCAAGAGACTGAATGAGGCAGTATCTGACGAGTTTTCGTTACATGCGTAAGTTGTAAGTGCGTTTAGCACGGCGCGCTACGCGCGCCCCACCCCCTCATCACTATCCTATTCCCTTCCACTGTACCACCCTTTCACTATACCTACCAGTACAAGCAGTATGTTTACGCAAATGATTAAAAACAAACAATGGGAAGGAGGTACTTACAACTTACGCATATACCAAACTTTTTTATTAATAACTTTTTAACAAACAGTGACCGCCGGCTAAAACCTTCCAGCATTACTCAGAGTGATGATCTACATAACATACAACTAAAATTCTTGAGATCGGGAAGTGGTCCCCATAGGTAAATATTTATCCAATCGAGCTTCCGAAATAAAAAGCAGAAACGTGTCACGATGAACACCGCCGACTCGACCAAAGCCTCGCTTCGTTATCTTCGCACAAATCAGCTGGCGGTTAATTATCATGTACACGCCCTAATGAAGTCAGACGTGAAAAACTCTGCGAAATTTCGATTTACATTCCGAGACTCACACATTCTCACCCTCTCGCGCTCGCACCTTATCGGCCGAGCATGCTCCATCCTTCAGGATCAAGCATCGCCGCGCGATCGCCGGCGAGCCAGCCGCAATATCGCGATTACGCAAAGGCGCATAGACAATGAGATGCAAACAATGCTTTCTTAACGTGAGCGCACCGAGTGGCGCGCGCAGCGCGCTCGCCTCGCCCTCGCTCCGGCTGGTCGTAAACAATAATAACAATATTTGCGTCCGCGGCTCACGTGAAAGATGCACACGCGCGTAGCTGTCCCTTTCGCTCGCGTACTCGCGCGCGTGTGCACACGCATGAACGTAATCATGACGCGGTACGGGGCACGTAGGTTCTAATTTGTATTCGCAACTGTCACAGAACATGCGCATAATTTGGCGACGAAACGGCTGCCGTCTAGAATGACCATTTCTATTTATGTGCTAGACAATTGAAGTCTTGTTTCTCCTATCCCGCGAGTCTTCTTGCTCCTTTATATTTTATATCCTGACGAATCATTCGCTCTCTCTCTCTCTCTCTCTCTCTCTCTCTGCTCCCTCTCTTTTCTCTGTTACATCAATTTCATTTCTTCCCCATTAGTGGCATTAGTTGTCCATTAGTGATACATCGCTTTCATGTCAATAGAACCCGCCGGTCGTTCGTTACAATGTACCCATCCAGCTGTCTCTCCGTTTTTACTTTTCAACCTACTAACCTACGGTGTCTCAAGGATATACGACCGCGTTTCCGGGAAGAAAAAGCGATGTACCGTCGGCAAATTGAATACGCCGGAGGCAAACGGGACAGTCGAAAAATCGCGACAGCGACGTTAACAAGCGGGTCGAAGAAAAGTCGAGCAAACTCCGCTCGATCGTAGGCGTCGCGGAACAGCTTACGGCACTGCGTACGTGAGCCGGCACGCACACAGCGGCGAGGACACGCACACAGCGTGCCGGTCCGCATTCCACGAGTGGAACAACCGGTACACGATTCAGTGGCTCTCATCTGCGGCTACGCGACGTCGTTTCCCGAGTCGCAGGAGGCGGAGGAAGGAGCGAGTTATGCAACAACGCGAGAGGGAAGAGGAGTCAGTGGCCGGCCCGGCGAATTCGCGGCAGATGAGGTGGCCCCTCTTCCGGATCTCCCCGCTCTTGTTTCCCTCTCCTTTTTCTCCTCTCTCTCTCTCTCTCTCCTCTCGCGTCTCTCCGACGTGCTGTGCGACACACGTGCGCATACATCGCGCCGCTTTCGAAATC